TATTTACAAACCAATTCCTACAATCTATGAATGATACATTATGTGATTACATCAAGGACCACATGATGGTATCCTAGATTTCCTGTGTTGGTCCTAAATGTAATGAGGACCCTTATAAAAGGGAGGCAAGAAAGTAAACTTAAGGTGATGTGATGATGGAAGCAGAGGGAAAGAAAAGGTGATGACAACTGTGGGGCTGTGAACAAGGGAATGCTGGGCTCTCTAGAAGGTGGAAAAGACAAGCGAATGGATTCCCCCTTTGATTCTCCTATTAACATCTTGATCTTAGTTCTTTCTAAGGCTCACTTTGGACTTCTGGTCTCCCCACCTGAGCCAACATGTCATTTAAAGGTACTCAGGATGAGGACAGCAGCCATAGGGAAGGAACACCTAAAGTAGGAGTCAGCTGAAGAGCTTGTTCCAAAGCACAGTGTGTTATCCAAGTACCTGTGGTCAGCTATGTCAAGTCAGTAAACATTTAATATCTTGAGACTTGTTAAAGCCAAGATTTCTGGGCCCCGCCTCCTGATTTTCTGGTTTAGCTAGATTGGGTTGGAGACTAGAAATTCACTTTCTAACAAAGCGCCAGGTGAGGCCCTGGGACTCTACATGTTGAGAACCATTATACATGGCTTGGAGTCATAGGCAGCACATTACAACTATAATCACTGTTAGGTAGCTCATGCCTGTAATCTTAGCTATGCAACAGACCAAGATCTGAGGACGCTGATCTCTAATAAACTACTCAGAAAAATCTAAAGTTGAGCTATAGTTCAAGTGGTATGGCAAAGGAAGCTCAGAGACAGCACCCAGTTCAAGCCCCACAACCAGCACGAAGAAAACAAAGAGAGAACTGAATCCAGAGTCCACTGTAGACAAATCTTTACCTTATCTGGTTTCTTATCTTCCTTGCCATTCTCAGTAGTTTTTCTATTTAATCAATAGATGGAGATTTATAAAATATGGCATTAGTTTCTCAATATCTATCATTGCTGGCAAACATATAAAATCCAAATTAAGGAAGAGGAGGTGTGGCTCAGATAGCAGAACACCAAGTCTTGATGAAAAAGCCAATTAAGAGCATGAGATCTTGAGTTCAAGTCCCAATACCAGCACACACACATACACACACAATCCAAATTAATTTTTTCAAGGCAGTAAGACATCCGATGTTTTCACTTTTCTCTGCTGCTCAGTATACAAGCCTGTTGCCCCTACTTCTCCTCCCTAGGTAGGCTCTTGGGGATGAAGCTCAGGGGGGCATTCTCAACTAAGTGAGAAGAGGTGTTATATGTTAAGTATGAAGTATGATCATTTCTGGCCATACAGTGACTTGGGGGAGTGCTGCTGGTGTTTTTCAGGGAGGGACTAAGGATGTGGTCCATGTGCTTGCAATGCTCAGAACAGTCCTGCCCAAATGTACTTGTGACCCAAGGTAGGGGGAAAAAAATCAAGGCACTGGTCATTTGATTATCAAATAGTACCCGAGTATTGCCTCCAATTTCAGAATACCACTTTCAGGATGAAGTCCTCTTTCAGCCTGGACAAGACAAGCCCAAAGAAAGCTTTTTAGAATTTTTTTCAAAATATAACATTATTAAGGTATAGAACAGAGGGGTTGCAATTCCACAAGTCAGGTAATGAGTACAATTCTTCTTGGACAATGTCACCCTGTCCTTCCTTTGCTTTCCCCCATTTCCACAAACCACCTACCATGACCTGCTGTCTCTCTTAACACCACTGTGTTAGCAGTCCACTACCCATGTATAGTAAGACCGTATCTCTTCTTTGTTTCAGAAAATGTAACTTAACAAGTTACTTCTTTATTCCCTAGAGTGAAAACAGGGCAGCTGATGGGCAAGTTGTAGTCCACAGAAAGAGCCCTCCAGAATGGCCTCTCTTTGGATGCTACAGACCTGCTTGGCCTTCTACTCAGTCATATATGTCACCTGCTCATGGCTGAAGCTGGAGGACAATGTCTCCTGAGATTTTTCTGGACAATGCCAGGTGTTAATCCATGGCTGCCCCACATGTGGTATCCTCGCGCCTGCCTGGATCACATATCCTTCCAGCGAACCATAAAATGTCTCAGTTACTCTTACTTGAGTCATGTTTTTACCCTCCTTCAATCTATACCTGACTCTACATCTATAGAATAAAGGCCCTTCAGCACTCATGACCCAACCCCCTACCCAGCAGTGTGTTAGAGAAAGGAATCCTTTATTAACCAGTCACTCATGGGCCTTTTAGCTTCTTATTTGGAAACAATTCATCAGTGCTACCATCTTTTCGTTCCACAGGTCAGACCAGGAATCATTGCCTCTCTCCCTGCCACTCCCTACTCTATCCACTGCAGATTTTTACCATCTGCAGCTACCAGCTGAGATCTGCGCCCCAGTGCCATGGCTTCTGGCCAGATCTAGCTCTTCTGTCATGGCTTATTCTATACACAGCAGCCAAGCAATCACTTAAAAATGTAAATCAGATGTTACTTCTCTTTAGAACCTTTAATGGCTTCTAATGCATTTAGAATCAAATCCAATTTTTTTTTACTAGTCCAGGCCCCTGAATTCTGACATACACTAGCACTGAGATTTCTAGGCATTTCTTCTTCCTCAGACCTTGATGCTGTCTTGACAGAAGTCAGGTTCTGTATCTTCACATCAGCTTGTTAGTACTCTGTTCAAGTTGCTGTTAACAAAATACCACAGACATAAGCAACAAAAATTTGTCACATCTGCAAGTCAGGAAATCTAAGATCAAAGGAAATTCATATCTGGAGAGGCTTGTTCTTGGAGTCATAGGTAGTGCTGCTTTGCATGGTGGAAGGAAGGGGACAGAACAGCTCTCTGGAGCCTCTTTTATAAGGGCACTATTGCCATTCATGAAGGCTAAAGCTCTGGGGTTAATTTGCCAACAGGAAGTGGTGGTGCTGGTATATGACTGTGGGTTTCTTAGCTCCACATCTCTTTCATTCCCTCACTACCTCCTTGAGCTGAGTTTTAACATTACTACCCTTTCATTTCCAAACTAAATGACTAGATAAAAGGGGGGGGGGGATGAGCCAGGTGACATGCCATGTGCTGGTGCCAAAAATGGAACTCAAGACATAAAAATATGTCTATTATGCCCACAAATGAAGTATCGAGTAGGTTTAGGGAAGCAGCCTGCTTCCTAAGGATGAATAACCTCTTTACTCACACAACAAAATAGGACATAGGAACCACATCAGATTTCAGAAATAACTCCCATCTTGGTGGAATGCCAGGCTCCAGACCCAATTCTGTCATTTTCCAGGCCTTTGCTTTAGAACACTGGACATCTCAGTTGACCTTTCAAGGCCTCAGCTTTACATCTGCAAAAAGGATCACACAGTCTTGAACAAGCATTCCACTTCCACTACTGCATGACATGGGGACAGCAGATGGCTTTTATTAGCCAATTTTGCTCTAGATACTGACATTTCACATATTTCCTATATATATTTCTATAGCAGTCTTGGGAAATGTAAAAACTCAGATTCTCAAAAACAAAGTTGTCACTGGTTCTATATCCTCAAAGAGAGCAACCCGCAGGCAGTGTGAGCATAATTTGTACCTCTTAATTTTAAATCCAGATGCCTGCTAAGACCAAAAATACCCATCATTCAATATTTACATCTGGGCTTCAATTGCACTGCCCACTCTTGGCTACTTGAATTTACAGAGGAACAGAGCATCAGGGAGAATTCTAACTAACCTCATTCGAATGAAACTGTCTTAAATATCATCTCTCTCTTGTTTTTGATGACACCCTACATGTATTTGCATAAGGAAAAGGCAGACAGCTGTGTCCTAACAATAAACCTAATGATTTGATTATTGGAGAAAAGATAAATTCTTCATTTCAGCTTCTCTACTTACAAGCATATCTAAGTCTCACTGCAGCAACTTCATCCCTTCCTGTCTTTACTAATGGCTCCTCTTAATCTAAGTTGTCTGCACACTGATTGCAGAGATTTACCTGTTACCAAGAGAACTGGACACAAGGTGCAAGGAATCAAGACCTGCCTGGAGAAGACAGGGACCTGCTGTCCCATGGTCCTGGAATTCCTAAAGGTTCTGTGCTCTTAGCCAAGAACAATAGTCTGGTTTTATGATCAATTTTCCCTGTGTTCTGGAATTCTACTTTTTGTCTTAAAAGCTCCAGGGAAGCTCTCTGCATCTCTTGAGCACTCACGTCCTCCCTCTGGCCACAGGTTCCCAACACACAATGATCCTTTATGACCAAACCTCTGAGGGCCCAGGGCCCAAGAAAATTGAGCTCAAAGTTTCAAGTTTGCAGACAACGCGGTTTCAAGCTAGACGCCTCCAAACAGGGAGCTAAGCAGACTTACGGAAAGGCTCCCGGTGCTCCTCTGCGGTATTAAAAAACAGTCTCAGAAAGTCCGGCGCCGGGGGCTCAAGTCTGTACACTTAGCTACTCAGGAGGCTGAGATGTGAGGATTCGGGCAGACAAACCCAAGGGTTTCTCATTTCCAATCATCCACCAAAAGCCAAGTGGAGCTGTGGCTCCAATGGCAGAACACCAGCCTTGAGTGAAAAAGCGCCCAGGCCGCGAGTTCAAGCCCCAGTGCCGGGAAGCACACACGCGCGCGCGCGCACACACGCACACTCACAATCACGCACACAGCCTCAGAAACCCCCGCATATGCGCTGCAGAGGAAAATCTCAGTAAAGAGAAAGAAAAAGCGAAGTTTGATTGATGGGGGGGGGGGGGAGCCGGAAGCTTGCCAAAGAGCAAGGGAGCATTTCTCCAACGTGGGCCGCGGGCAGTCAGGGCAGTCAACGGGGCGCAAGTTCAAGTCCCGTCCACGACAGAGCCAGCCGGGGCACCCGCAACCCCCCGCCCGGGGCATCTCCGGGGAGAGAAGCGGGGCAGTGCGGGAGCAGGTAGGCTCCCCCAGGGGGAGTGAGGGGCGCTCGGGCGGCGGTCCCCGGGGAAGGGTGCTGGGGTCTCACCTTCACGGGCGCGGCGCCCG